AGATGTGCTTGTAAGTAGTTCATGATGATACATGTACATGTATTATTGTCCTATGTGTTGTAATAAACTTTTACTACTTTAAAATGTATCTAAAATTGCCATCAAAGTTTGGCATTAATTAATTTGTTTGTGATAATACATGTATAGTAATAATTATTATCCTAGATTGAGAATGCACTCTTGTTATTTTCAAAGAATTGATTATATTCTTCTCTAAAATAAGCACTGATATCAAAAAGACCTCTTGAATTTATATTGGCTAGTGTTATTGAAGATGATTCTATGAAAAGTTAACTTGATACTAATGTTGCATTTTAGTAGTTAGAATTACAGTCACAGTTGATGCTATTGTCTGTTAAGTTAGCCTCATGTTTTCATGAATCTTACGACATTATCTTGTACAATAAATAATATTTTCTGTGAAGTTATCAACAGGTCTGAAGGTCAATTGTGTTAGAAATATTCTTAGTTCCAATTATTGATGTTTTGAATATCATTGTAAGGTCATGTTACTTCCTTTGTTAATTTATGAATATTATTAATAGAGTGCACCAATAATAATTTTATTTGTTGCTGAGTTGCATTTTTTATTGTGTATCAGTTTATTTGCTTTAATACTTTGTCAAATTTTAGATGGTATTTTTAATTTTTTTATCAGTTACATCTAGCTATAGTACTGTAGAGTGAGTAGATGTGGTACATGTATGTGCCACACCTACTAATTACTTTCACATAACTTATTAAGAGATTTGACATTAGACATTGAGCTATGCCATCTATGTTGTACATGTAGAGTGCTGCATTTAATTGTAGTGATCAAAATAACAAACAATTTAATCTAATTCCATTATAAACTTTTGTTCATTTTGGTCCATAGAATGTTTGAATGCTAAAATTTTACACCCGTCCCACCTTTACTTTGAAGGTTCCATTTTTTAATTTTACTTGTATCACTTGTAGCTTGTGTGCATGATAAAACCTGCCTGTCATACTTTATAATATTTGGGTTTTGTATTTTGAACCGCCAATTTGTAAATTTTATTCTCTGCCAAAATTTCCCGCTATAAGGCACATGTAGTTTAATGATTATGATAAAGTAGAGTGGAAGTAAGTGGTAGGTATATTAGCAAAACTAGGTACAGTATAGCTGGAATATTTCAACTGGAAAAATGTTTAATGTTTAAAGCAGAATTAGAAATCTTTTGTTTGTTTTATTTTTGTTCTGAGCAGCCATTTTGCACATGTGGCACTGAGAAAAATGCCTTTTTTTGTAAAATATTTGTTCCATGAGGAATGAGAACAAAAAGAACGAAATTATACTTTGACAGAATATGCCCACTATACAGTATTGGGCCATGAAAGTATTAAATAAATGGAGCAGATAGACTAATCATTTTCGCTTTAGACACATTCATGCATTACGAGATGTCTATATAGCAGAAGATTTTCATTGAAAAAAATGTCATTGTCCATCCAAGCAGGCTTTATAAAATTCTTCACTGATCTTATTTTCATTGATTAACATAAATTATTATGTTTTACCCAGTCATGCCCACTTGCTTTTAAATTTATATTTTCCAAATTTTCAATTTTGGCCAATGAAACAAATAAAAATTAGCACTCAAAAAGAATTGTGTTATACCGTAACTTGTGTTTCTTCAACTTGTCATGTTAGTTTTAAATGCTACCAAATCATAAATGACACACTTTAATTTCTAGAAAAGCTAAAATTGGCAGTGTAATTTTTGGTGAAAATAATTAATGATAATAATTTGATTTGATGGATTGATTAGTATAGAAGTTACAATTAATATACTAATAAAATATAGTTTTTATATTAAAATAATTATTTACAGATTGCACTACTGGATCAATCCGTCTTGTTGGTGGTTCACACGATTGGGAAGGAAGAGTGGAAGTGTGTGATAGTGGATCATGGGGCACTGTCTGTGATGATTACTGGGGCTCCCCTGATGCAGCAGTAGTGTGTAGACAACTAGGCTGGGGAACAAGTGAGTTGATTCCTTTTGACAATGAATGATACATGTATATTGTGACAGGTGGAACTGCTCGATCAAGTGCCTACTTTGGTCAGGGTACTGGTAGTATCCTCCTGGATGATGTTCATTGCACAGGAACAGAAGAGTTTTTGACAAACTGCACACACTCGAGTACTCACAACTGTGGACACTATGAGGATGCTGGAGTATCTTGTGATGGTAAGTTTTTCAAATAAATTTGTAGTATTGTGAGATGTATTTATTACTTTAGTTTGTACTTCTGGTTCTCTGCGTCTTGTTGGTGGATCAAACTCGAACGAGGGAAGAGTGGAACTGTGTCAAAATGGAAGGTGGGGTACAGTGTGTGATGACTTCTGGGATTCGACTGATGCTGGTGTTGTATGTAGACAGCTGGGATATGATTCAGGTAAGGAAAGGTTTATAGGTTAATTGGAGTGTGAGTGTCGCAACATAGGAACTGCATTTGGTAGTGCCTACTTTGGACAAGGAAATGGATCAATTGTGATGGACAATGTCCAGTGTGATGGAAGTGAATCTTACCTTACAAACTGTACACACATCACAAATCACAACTGTGCTCACTCTGAAGATGCAGGAGTCAGATGTGCTTGTAAGTAGTTCATGATGATACATGTACATGTATTATTGTCCTATGTGTTGTAATAAACTTTTACTACTTTAAAATGTATCTAAAATTGCCATCAAAGTTTGGCATTAATTAATTTGTTTGTGATAATACATGTATAGT